TACATGCATGTGTGTGTATTTATATATGCATAATAAATATAAACAACATACATACATATATTATGTAAACAAAAGCGTTTATTTTGGATGCGATTAATCGTTTGACAGCACTCATTTTAATATTATTTATATATATACATGTATATACCTTTCCAATGACATCGTTGCGGCTCAGTCGATCCTTATCCATGACGGTAATGATGATGGTTGTCTCTCGGAGAACATGTGCGGGCACGTCAAAAGGGAAGGATTCGTTAAAAATGGGGTTCAGGCAGCGTTTGATGGTCACTGTCTTCTTCTTCTCCACTCGCTTGTCTTTGTGCATTAGCCATACTTTTACATAGGGGTCTACAGCCAATCAGAGAACGAGAGCCTGTGAGTTATGCAAATGAGACATGTATTCATTGATTATGGCATCTCAGCCCGTGTGTTTGTTATTATACGTGTACCTGAGGTGCCCCCGATGTCCATGGCTTTGAGGTTGCGAGCTTTTATGATGTTAACAGTGATGGTGTTGGCAGTGGGGTTATAACACAGAGACAACAGCAGATCTCCACGACTTCCCTGCAACACGCATGCAAACAGACACAAGCTTGAATGAGATTTGAAAGTGAAGATTTTCAGAAAATAACGCCATCAATTTCAATCTGTTACTCGCGCAAAGCTATTATAAAGCCTTCCGAAGACTTATAATATAATGCACTAGTCCTATGGACTACTTTTGCTTTCATTATATGGAAAAGTGACTCACGCTGCCATCACTGCAGGGTTTGAGATCCTTCCAGAACGTCTTCAGCTGTCCGAGCTCCACTTTATTCAGAGGAATCGAGACCTCTCCGATCGGGTCATTACGACTGAACCGATCGTAATCCAGCACCTGGAGATACAGCGTTCTCTCCCGCACCTTCTCATACGGGAATCCTGAAGACGTGTGAGATTAGATTCATCCAGAATGATGAAAACAGGACATACTTCATCCCAAATTCAAAAGAAAATGTTTTGCATAATAAAACCAGAACATTTTTGTATGGCGACATTGTGTTCCTGACAATTAAGCATATTTCCTCCTTAAATTCTCATTACTGTCATGTAAAAAACAACAACAAATTAAAGCTGCATCCAGCATTTAAAGGGCCCTCGCACCCGTAGCCACCTCCACCCGGTAGGAGGTATTATTTTTTTGTGAGATTGTTTTAAAGGTAGTTTGTATTTTTATCAAGAGAGAATTAATGAGAGAATTGCTTTAACTAAAAACTGACCTTCAAACAGGAAGGTTTCGTTCCAGTGAGGGTTGAGATTTTTCCTCTTGATTTTGGTCTCGAGTTTGTGCTTTCTGTCGGGCAGTAGGTAGATTTTAACGAAGGGGTCGGACGTCCCAGAGAAGTCTTTAGCGGGCAGGTCTTGACCTTTGAGTATCTTCACCGTCAGAGTCGTGTCTTGGAAGCTGTAGCCCAAGCTGAACTGAATCCTGCCCAGTTTCTCGCTCACTGGACCTTCGTGGTCGTCGTCTTCCGACCCCGGAGACAACTAAAGAGAGCGTGAGAGAGAAAGACGAACGTGAAGAACAGCACAAAAGCATAAACACCTCAGCCTAATTCAGCTGTTATTCTGCTGTTATTACTGATCGAGAAACACAAACACACACAGACACGTCTTAAGATATTTAGGGCAAGACTCCACAGGTGAATAAGGGTAAAAAATGAGCTAACCGATATCACTATA